ATCAATCAACAAAATGAAAAGGCAACCTGTGGAATAGGAGAAATATTTGTAAACCACATATCTGACAAGGGGTTAATATGTAAAACATATAAAGAACACATATAACTCAATAGAATAAAAAATCCTTTAAAAACTTATGTTAACAATGGGCAGAGGACCTGAACAGACATTTTCCAAAAAGGTATACTAATGGCCAACAGACACGTAAAACGGTGGGCCCAGATAATGAAGGTGTTCAGGAGTCAGGTCCTGAGCCAGCTTGGGGAAACTTTCTGGAAGAAACTTTTTTGAATTTAGCCTCAAATAAGTTTGAGTTTCCTATGTGGGGATCAGGAGATAAGATTGAGGGAGGAAAATATAATCCTTGTAAGAACTTGCAGTGGGTCAAATGAAATAATGGCACCTTTTCTTTGTTAAACTAGCAAAAAAGACATTTGATACGGCCGCAGAAAATACAGAAGTGGTCATTTGTAGTTGGAGAAAGAAAGGAGGTGGATGATGGAAAGCCCTGTATGTTAGATGGAGGAGTTTGGTTTTCATCTACCCAGGGAAAAAAATGTGAAACCATTAGGGATGACTATAGCATTTTTGTTTTAGAAAGAACACTGTGGGGAAACACATGGAGAGAGAGAGAGAGAGAGAGAGGGAAAGACATGAGACTTTTGTGAAGAGGCAAGAAGTCAGAAGACTGAATTAGGACAAGTGAACACAGAAGAAAGAAGTTGCTAAATATTTCGGACCAGAGGACAGATGGATACAGGCCATGAGGAAGAAGAGTTCCTACACTGTTTACTGAATCTGCCACCCCTTTAAGTTTTTAGTACAGGAAATTGATGATAAGTGGGAGACACTGACAAACTCACAGACTCAATGAAAGATCCCACACCTTGAGTTTAATGAAATGTACCGCACTTAAAAAAAAAAAAAGCAACCAGAACATGACTTTTATTATGTGAACTATCAAATGTTTATTTAATTTCCATTTCAAATATCTTCAAGTAAAAATATGTACAAAAATACATATACAAAAACTGAAGCAGCTAGAAGCATGACAAGTATACATACATACACATTAACACAATGAAATTCAATTCAATGCAAAATTGAGTGACATCATATTGCACCAAAATGTATTCCATACAAAAAACATATGCGTCAAGAGTTTCCACCAGATGAAATCACACTTATTTCATAGTGTCTTACCACTTACACAAATAGCCCATAAACACCATCTGGCAGCGTGATTTCTGCACCAGAACTCTCCCCAGAAGGAAATCATTAAGCTGCAGAAAAATCCACTTTATTTCACACGTCACATGCTGGTACAGGCATCGGTGCCAGAGAACCCTAAGAAATGCAGCACAATCCACAAATGAAAATCCCTCCGCACCATTTATAGTCTTACAGTCACATATCTTTGTATTCCGAATTCGACTGGAATGGAGGTGCAGCAAAGGAGTTTTGCTTTTAAGAATTTATCAGCACAGGGCGTTGTGTAAAATTGGTGTAAAATGCGCACGATCCCCTTCACCACATTTCACCATCACGATGCCAAGGTGAAGAAACCCACCACAGATGAGGACCGTCTAGGAAACAGGGGCTCACTCTTCCTCAGCTGGATGTCTCCGTTCCTGCATCTGAGATCACCAGGCCAAATCCAGCATGTCCCGGCCCGAGCCCCCCAATTAGGGGAATGGTGCAGAGTCGTAACAGATGCATTCCAGACCCACACTCAGACGTGTACCTGGCCCATACATTACAGTTTCAGCACGGGTCAGAGAGATGGCTGCCAGCACAACCCCCCAGAGGGACCCGACCACCGCTTTCCCACTGGGCAAAAATGATTCCGTCGGAGCAAGTTATTGACGCTTGACACAGACTATAAAAGGCATCTGAATACATTCATCTACGGTACCTAATGAGATGTTAATATGAACATACCAACACACAAACAAACTGTTCTACCCCTTGATAATTGAAAAGGAAGTTATGGTGACCAAGTCAAATTTTTAACACAAAGCTTGCTAAACCCATTTTCATAAAGTAAATGCAGATATACTTACTATAAGTAGGCATAAAAAGATTCATCATGAGATGAATTCTGAGTCAGCCACTAAAAACCATGTCTACCAGTGCATCACTACCACCGAACCCACTCTATGACCAGCAAACACCGAGCTTGGTGAAATCTTGAGTCAGATCTTAATCAGAAAACTAGGACAAATGAAGTTTTCCCAGCGTTCCGTCCAGGCGGCCGTGTAGCTTGCCTCTCTCTGACTTGTGCTTACTACGAAGCCACGGGGAGCCAGCACCTAACGTCAGGGAAACACAGCCATGTGTCTGTTCCAGGGGTTGGCCTAGAGACACTCTATTTCATGGCATGAGGCAATGCGCTCTCACCACATCGGATGCTTATGTTTGCAAATTCTCCAAACAGTTGGGAGGTACCACTGCAAACTCATCACGAGCGTGCTGCCACCAGTTCAGGAAGACAGAGAAATCGGGGGTCCACCCCTGTCTCCAAAACCACCAGCCATTTGGAACACAGGCATCAGCCCCAAACAGCCCACGAGAGTTAAGAGACAGGCAATTCTCTGCACATGGGTAATGGAAAAAGAAGACCCCTGTTTTCAAAATGTTAAGTATTAATACTTTAGCTCCAGAGTCATAGCAGTGGTCATAACATTTGCAAAGGTAAACTACTAAGCTACCGTACATGTTTCTCTGAGGAAAGGATCAAAATAATCCCAGATCACTTAAAATGTTGGGAAGGTTCTTGTGGTTTGTGGGATAACCATTACCACATGTATTGTCTTTTGCCTGCAGAGCAATTAAAAAGTGCTATGTGGTAGTGTCTAAAATTGTGAATATACACAGTAGTTTAAATATAGGTCAATTCTATATAAGCATACATTCCTCTGAAACAAATCTATTTAATTTCTCCAAACTGCTTTTCTACTTAGATATAATATTTTTGTATTACATAGGTCAGTAAGTGGAAATCTGGAGTGAAGGAGAAATGCTAGGGAAAACCAGCTAAGAACCCCGTTGAAATCAGACCGTTCTAAGCTGGACCCGGGGAACCACATTGCATTGCTTCCCACTGTGAGATGAATCGGCTCCCGAGCATGCCCCGGAGCCTCGGCAGGAATACGTGAGGTCTAACTTCACCACCCAACCAGTACAGCTGTAACATCCACAGACCCCGTTTCCCCCCAAGATGCTGTGCAAAATACCCTGTCACACAAGGTGCTCAAAATACAGTCGCTGCTGCTAAAGAGATAACTGCACTGTTTTTATCTTTCCTCTAGCTTTCAGAGCAGCCTGCAGAGGCAGCAACGAGAGGTAATCAGGATGCAGCGAGCAAGTCTTCTAACCAATAAATTAAATCACTTGAAAGTGTTACTTTAAAAAAAATCAGTAGTGTATATGTTGAGGGAGTGGGAAGTATGTTCACTTTCAAACCAGTGCATCCATTTTTCTGTGGTGCTCCCATGCCCAGGGCTGCACGTTTCTTGAGAGGGCGGTTCCCTATAAAACCGTTAAGGCAGTTACTGATACTTTAAAAGTACCCTTGATCTACTCCGCTGAAAACACTCGTGTAACAGACAACTATCTGGAGACGGTGACCGTCCCCCAGCAATATTTAAAGGCTCTGGTGCCAGAGACGGGGCGGGGGGGGGGGGGGTGGCTACCAAGGAGGTAAACCTAAGTGGTAATTTCGCTCTGAGAATATCGGTAATTGTGTAAACTCACTCCTGTCTTGAGGACATAATGCCAACAATTAATACCAAGGGTATCACTGATTCATTCCAAAAATCAGAGAAATGGTTCAAAGAGATCAAGCTAACGTCCTTAAAGGGTTGAAGAACAATATCTCACAGCATATGGAAAGCTGGCACACTTTCCGTGAGACCACGTTTTATGCCTTTGTGTATTTGTATCAGATCTAAAACTAGACTGAGCGTTTATTTTTTCATACCAACTAACATGGAAAATTCAACAAGAAGAAGAAAGGATTATGTCTTAAAAATGGCTGTTAAAATATCTTTTAAGTACAGTAAGAATACCACCTAGAGGTTACACTTTTAGGTGTTACATATATTGAGAGAGATTAAAAATGCCATTCAAGAGAAATTATCCTAAAAAAACATTTATGGGTAATAATTATTTTACCTGTACATTAATAATGTAAACAAAAGCAGTCACCAGGACTCATTCTCTACCCTAGTCTACAGCCACCGTGAGCTTGCAGGCAGTTACGCAAACACACGCTTCAATGCTGACTTCGGCCGGGAAAGTCAAATGTGGCTCTGTAAGCATCGTGGGCACCAACACACAGCATGTCACAGGGTAAAATGAAGCAAGGTTACAATTGCATAACATTGAGTTTCATCTGTGCTCACATCCCAAATCTGTCTACATTGTTTCCAACCTAAAAAAAGAACTATAATTAGAATCCTACATACTGCTTTTCTATCACTCAGAACTGACAAAAAAAATATGTCAAAGGTGAAACTCTCTCCTTATATAGTGCATAATGTATATTATGGAAAAGCCACGTATATAGATAGTTCCATTAATTCACAATTGTATTTAAAAATATGTTTTGGCCTTGGTTGGTGGTTCAGTGGGTCAGAGAGTCGTACTGATACACCAGGTTGCTAGTTGGATCCCTGGTCAGGGCACTTACAAGAAGCAAGGAAGGAATGCATAAATAAGTGGAAAAACAAATCATTTTCTCTCTTTCTCTCTCTCTCCGCTTGCCCTCTCTCCCCCTCTTAAATCAATAAAAATAAAAAAATACTGGGTTCAGCAGAAGTAACGCCATTGAATGTGGTTGGTAGGGTAGGTGGGCGTCTCGCACGAGATGGACAGCAATTTGACCATTTCACCTAAAATGTCATAGGGAGTGCTTGAGTGTGGTATTGTTATCTTACAGAATTACACGCTTATGCCTCTGTAATAAAAGATTTCATATAGATGACCAGCTCATAAAAAGGGGGCATTATTTGTGCTGGGATCTCTCTCTCTATATATATATTGTGTGTGTGTGTGTGTGTGTTTGTGTACACACACACAAATATACCCCAAGCTTATTTCTAATAGAAAGAGTAATGGAAATGTTTTACCCTACTCAAAGTGGTATTTGATTACGTAGGGCCAGAAGTATCTATAATTTTGCTGCTTTTCTTCAAGAAAATGAACACACAATCCCTAATGCAAAGTCGGGTCCAGGACCTTGGAAGGAGCACGTCTAGGCGAGCAGCACCGAAGCCTGCGTGTCACTGGCTTGTTCAGACAGCCACCCTTGCGCGGCAGGCGACTCATTTTTAGTATCTCTCCGACTACACTGCACAGCAAGTTACACCCGAAATCTTGTTTCCTCCAAACACACACTCCTTGCGTTTCCTGCTCCTCGGATCTTTGGTTTCCCATCCTCTCATAACCTACCTAATCCTAACAAACCAACTGTAGGTCAAAGATGTTCCCTTTCCTAGTTATCATTACATTTACCTTCAAATACATGTAAAAACAGATAAAACTGAAGTTTCCTGAAGACTGACCACCATCCAAGAGGAATTCTGCTGAGGGACGTAACGACACTCATGTTAACCTTCTGCTGGTGTGTCAAATAGCAACTGGGGAAACACTTCACCAGACACATAAGACAATCTGGAAACCTGTTTCAACAGTTATTTCAGCGTCAGGGCACGCACTTCTGACGTACCCTGACAGCCTGCCCTAAGTCTGCGCCAGCCGCGCTGGCGGGGATACGGTGCTGGCGCAGCACATGTGTGCACGCACACGCCTAGCATGTTTGCGGTCTGGGGTCAGTGATCATTTCGACATGATGCCATCCTGAAGAACAATTACAGATGCTGATTCTCTGACTACAGAAGCCCTGCGTCTTGTCATGATGCGCCCCCAAAATAAAGTATGACTTAGTCTCCATTACTTCCTTTAAAAATTACTGGCTGATCTTCTGTTTGGGTAAAATGGTATTACAACAGTATCAGCACTTCAATAGTGAAAAATCGTTTTGATAATGATGGGAAAAATAGTGAATATGTATTCTACCTTGCCTGGACAATGATCTATTAGAAGACAAGCCAGTACCCAAAATAAGCAAATAAATAAAGCGCAGACACCTCCGTGGACATTAGCACGTCAACCTCAGGAATCGCCCAGCACCACACAAACCTCTCCATGTGACTTACTTTTTTTAATCCTTACACACACACACAAAAAAAAAATTCAAGAAGTTTTCTAGTTTAGATTAAAAAAAAATAGGAATGTGAAGGAAATTTATTTTTTACCCCCAGCAACAATATGGTGGGAAGCAAGATGGATAAATGGATACAGGAAGTAGGGACCACAGATCAAATTTGGAAACTTCCTATGGTAAGAGAAAAAGGAAAACCTTTTACAAATTTGCTTAAAGACCCAAACACTAGGTTTGGCTGAAAAATGGTCAATCTTGGATTTATAGTAAATGTTATCAAGAGCAAAAACTGACATTTGTGATTTGGAGTCGCTTCAAATTATGAATTATCATTACCACTTTGGCCAACTGTCTATAAACTCTGTGTCTTCTCCTGATGATTTTAATCAGTGTAATTCTTTCAAAAATCCTTATTTTTCAAATGGACAAAAAAGTTAGAGGATGAAACACACTCTGGTTATGATGAACTACTAAACTTTAGTTGTATGTGAAAAATAGATAACAAATTTCATCGTGATACTACCCTCAGTAGAAAACTGCACAGTATTTTCTGAGCCTAGTGTAACACCTGTCTGGATATACACATGCATACACAGTGCCTACTTCTTTTAGGGAATTTTTCATCAGTTATCTCTTTTGCAAGTAGAATGATAATTATGGTGAGGAAATTAATGGCAAAGCCTAGATACAGAGGTGGAAAATTTTTAGAAACATCAGTTGTGAATCTTATTTAGCAGTGACATTTCTTCCCCAATTTTTATGTAAATATATGTCTTTTCCTAATGGACCTGGACAGTTTTATCCAAAGAGATATTTTAACAGAATATAAAATGTGTAAAGGAAATGTACAACCTGTCAAAATTCATCACCGTGTAAAAATAACTAGGAAATAAGAAAAAAACTGTTCGGAATACCTGTCACTGCACAGACACATGAGCACAGGGTTGGACATAATATTTTGGGTGCTTTCTTTCTTGATGATTTTTGTCTTATGTTGATATTGTAATGTGAAGACTTGAAAATGCACGTATTTAGATGTATTTATCAAGGGTAAATTATTCATCAAACAGATGGCGGTGCTTACCGGACTGGTTGTTGCTTTGCTGGAGGAAAGGGGTCACACCCTTTCCCGATCAAACGTGCTGCAGTGAGAAACAACACAAAACCCAGCCTTGGAGTTTTCTGATGACGAGTGAAAAAAAATTCTGACATAATAAATTCTCAAGTGTTCTTACTTAAACATAATTCCTGGATTTTTCCCATCAACAACAGCTCCTAGAAGCTCTTCTTTAAAGTGTTCATTAAAAAGTAGGCATATCCCCTCTGTCCTTTGTTCAAAATGCTCTGAGAATCACCCCTTAGGAGGTGAGTGATACCTAAGTTGGTATCTATAGGGAAGCAATGCAATGCCACGTAAAACAAATTTCTTTCTTTCCTCTGTCCGTAATGATGACATATGCTTTTTCCCCCACCTCCAGGTGAACAGAAAACACTTTTCACAGTATGGTCATCTCGACAATGTAAAAATTGTTTTTACAAAACCCATATGTACAGAAAACATCTCAGTCTTCGTTTCTGAAGGTTCTTCACCGTGGTATGTTATAGAGAAAGACCACTGAATTAATTGTCCATTCCACAGTCTTTTCCGCTCACCTCGACAGGCAGGTGTCAGGACTCAAGAATCATGGGAACTCACGGTACAGTTGCATATCGGCTTTCTATACCTACATGCAGTTAAAGCTACATTTCTTAGAAACCAGTTTAAATATGCTAAAAGATATGAATAGAAATAACTGATCCTTTAGTCCATCACCCAAGTAGCAATCCTCTGGGTTTTCATAAAATGAAGTGAACTTCCACATTTTGTTCCAGCCCTTTGGGCGGAAACAAGGCCAAGGACAGATTGTCAAGATTTCAAAGGCATAAATTCATAATTTATGACAAGCTTCTTCTGGTACAACTTCCAGTATTATCTGTAATGTTCTGGTTATCTTGCCTACAAAGAAATAACGAAGAAAAATTAAAAATGCACAAAAATCAGAAATGCATAGAAAACAGCAAATTGTGAATTATTTGGGGTTGAATACTGAAAACACACAATCGCTAAGTCAAAGAGCACTTTCAAGAATTATTTACTTCATTGGAATCCTATGCTCCATTAATGTGTCACTTCTATAACTTCCCACGATGGTTTCTCAGCAAGACTATGTTAATATTTTATATTAAAATAAGGAATTTTACTCTGAATCAGGAAGCTGAAATATTTTGAGACAATAGAATCGAGATATAAATAAATGTTCAAAAACATTTCATATTCAGTTTAAATTGCTTTGTTGTTTTTGCACCTATGAGATTATAATTAATTCCTCAGCAAAATTGGGAGAAGAATCAGAATAAAATTTCCAGTCTCAAACTTGTAGTCGATTATGGAGCAAAACTGCTCGTCTCCCAGGACCTCATTCGCCTCAGGAGTTGCCCTCAGCAAGATCAAGGGCTCAGAGGTCCCAACACTCATATCCCCCTTAAAAAACAAAAACAATGAAAAGCAACAAACTGAAGAAAATAGCTCAGGAAAAGCTCTTGACAACAAAAAAGCAGCCAAAACCTGGCAGAGCTCAAAACTCGAAAATGGCCACACAGGGAAGAAAGCATTTGCCCACATCGCCCTGTCCCCCAGCAGACCTGAGGGAGTTCCCCGATGGGGAGCCCCACCACTGAGGGCATCTGCAGCTCCTGCTGGGGAGGTCTCCCCTGGTCTTCAGCATGTTGATCCCCCCAACTGAGCATCCTGGAGACCCCTGACACACCCACACCCCCGCTCTGAGTCTATTCCCAGATGCTTGAGCTGTTGCTGAGGGGAGAGTCGCCCTCAGGCCCCTGATGGATGCTAAGTCCCACTCCCGGGTGTCTGGTGCCAGAGCACCTCACGGTGCAGGAGATCTGAGATGCCACTGCTCTTTGCCCAGCTCTGCCCAGGACAGGCCTTCTCCCACCATGACGTGGGCAGCCTCCCTTGCTCCAGAGCCCTGCCCCCTGGGTCCGTGGTCACACTTTGGCTGCCACTACTGGGCTGGGCTGCTGCTGCCTAGCCCTCCCCTCCCCCCACCCCTGGCCAAGACTTTGAACTGTCTTTGCTGAGATGGCTCTTGCTGTCCCAAGCCCTGTCCCCGGGCCTCAGTTCCTGGCTCTGTCCCATCATTGCCAGGGGCAGTGCCATTACTGTGGGCCTCCCTCCCCAGGTGGTTCAAGGCACAGACCCATCGAAATCCTCCCCAACCCAGGAAAAGCCAGGAGCAGATGGTTTCAGTGGTGAGCTGTACCAAACACAACGAAAACACAGCAATACTTCTCAAACTGTTCAAAGAACTTGAAGAGGCAAGAACACTCCCAAACTCATTTGACAAGGCAACACTGCCCTGATACCAACGTCAGACAAAGACGCTATACGGAAGGAAAACTACAGACCGATATCCTTGATGAATATGGATGCAATAATTCTCAGCAAATTAGTAGCAAACCAAATCCAAGAAAACATTAAAGGATCATTCACCATGACCAAGTGAGATGTAGCTCAGAAATGTAAGGCTGGCTCATCACAGTACTGGAAGTCCTAGCCAGAGCAACTAGGCAGAAAAAGAAATAAAAGGCATCCATATCAGCAAGAAAGAAGTAAAATCGTCTCTGTTCACTGATGACATCTTCCATAAAAATAGAAAAAGAAAGATATCTCAGGTTCCAAGAGTGGGGGCATTAGTATTGTGAAAATGTCCACAGGAGCCAAAGTGACCTTGGACTCAGGGCAATCCTGATCAAAATCCCAATGGCATTTCTAAAATACATAGAAAAACTGTCATAAAATTGGTTGGGAACCACAAAAGACCCCAAATAACCGAAGTTCTACTGAGCAAGAACAAAGCTGGAGGCATCACAATACCTCACTTCAAGCTACATTATAAAACTACAGCAAACAAAACGGGATGGCACAAACAAGGCACATAAATTAGTAGAACAAAAGAGAACTGACACATAACCCCCATATGTAGATAACTAACTTATTTTTGACCAGGATACCAAAAACACACAATAGGGAAAGGACAGAAAACAGGACACCTACATGCAAAAGAAAGAAACCGGAGTCCTACCTTACACCACTCACTAACACTAACTTGAAACAGAGCCAACATTTAGGTGTAAGACCTGAAATTACAAAACTTCTAGAAGAAAACATAGAAAAAAAGATCCTTGACATTGGTCTAGGCAATGATTTCTTGGTTTAGTCAACAAAGCACAGGCAATAAAAATTAAAATGAGTGTGACTACATTCAACCAAAGAGCTTTTGCACAGCAAAGAAAACTAAGTTGAAAAGATAATATACGGAATAGGAGAAAATGTTAGCAAGGCATAGATCTAAAATACAGGGTCCGGCATAAATAACACTCCTTTTTTATTACAAAGTCATAAGCATGGCAATCCTTATTGCTGTAACATAACAATATCACACTCAAACACACCATATGACATTTTAGGTGAAATGTCCAAATTGCTGTCCATCTCATGCGAGACATTCACGTGCCCTACCAACCACATTCAAATAAGCCTTACTTCTGGCAGACCCTGTATATGAAGAACTCAGATAACTCAACAGAAGAAAAAGAAAACAATCCAATGTAAAAAAATGGGCAAAGAACCTGAATAGGCACTTTCCAAAGAAGACACACAAATGGCCAATGTATGTATGAATAGTCATTCAACATCACTGACCACCAGAAAAATGCAAAACAAAACCCCAATGAGGTGCCACCTGACCCGTGTGAGGGTGCTAAGCCTCTGTGCATGGTACTGTTACCACGCCTTCCAGGGACCAAACTCGTCTGTAGTCCGCACTCTAAGTGGCCGAGGCAAGGTGAAGGGTACCAGGGTTTCCAATGACTGTGTGGAACATAGCGGCCTGTTGGCCTGGAGCATTCAAATCAGACACTTACATAAGAGAGGCAAGAAAATGAAATCCATATTCTTTAAAAAAAAAAAAGGGCAAGAGATAGCAATGCTGGCAAGAACATGAAGGAAAGGGAAACCTTTACAAGTATACATCGTTGGTGGGAATGTAAATCGGAACAGCCATTGTGGAAACCAGTAGGGGGGTCCTCAAAATGTTGAAAATAGAACTCCCATGTGACCCAGCAATCCCACTCCTGAGTATGCAGGCAAAGAAACTAAAACCAGCATCTCGAAGGGTCACTGAAGCATTATTCACAATGGCCAAGATCTGGAACTAGCCCAAGTGTCCATCGACAAATGAATGGATAAAGGAGATGTGATACACACACACACACAATGGAATATTATTTAACCACGAGAGAGAGGGAAACCCTGCCATCTGCAACAACACGGGTGGACCGTGAAGACATCGTGCTAAGTGAGATGAGTCGGGCACAGAAAGACAAATACTGTGTGCAGTAACGTCTCTGTGGAATCTGAAAACCTGAACTCGCACGGAGTAGAACAGTGATGATGAGGGGCTGAGGGGGGGGGGCTTGGGGGGCTGCTGTTTAAGGGTACAGACTGACAACTAGGAAGGAAGTGACGTTGAGATAGCTCAGGTACAGCACAGTGACTATAGCCAACACGCCGTATTATAAAAGTTGCCGAGAGACCAAATCTTAACTGTTCACAACATAAAAAAGAAATGACAAATGCATGACACGATAGAGGCATTAGCTAAAGCTACTGTAGTAACCATATGGTGATATACAAATGCCATGTCTCAAACCAACACACTGTGCCTTTTAACTTACACAATGCTACACGTCAATTACATCCCAATGAAGATAAATTAATTTAAAAGAAAAGAAGGAGAGACTTGGACTAGGTCCGTGGTTCTTAAAGTGCACTCCGCAGAGAAGCTGAGATGTTGGAAAGGCATCTCAAGCCCCATCCTGGATATACTGAATCGGAAATGGAAGGTGGGGTCCAGAAATCCGTTTTTCTGATAGAGACTAAAATGTAGGGGCCCCCGAGCAAGACCATCTTATCTCGGCAGCCCTAGAACCCTGTGACTCCAGTTTCCCAGGACATTAGCTCTTGGTCACCTCCTATCCCAGTAATCGGGCCCTACAGACACTCTTCCAACCGCTGCTGGCCCTGGAGCAGCTCGAGTCTTCCTTTATGATGCCTCCAGACCCACCTCGTCTCGCAACCTGACATGCAGTCTTCCTCCTCACTTACGACTTGTCCCCTGGCACAAGTCCCCTCCAAACAGTATTTAACACCACTAAAAAAGTTCGGTTTTTTCCTCCTTCACTGTGTAACACTGGTGTTCCCCAGAGTAGTTTTCCTCAGCACACTCATTTGATAACATTCATCACTTACACAGGGCCCAGCATGGTTCTGGCCAAAGGTAAACCCTATGTAAATGTCTCTTAAATTGTCGCAGCCCATTCTACATTGACATGTACATGCAGCACAAGGGAACACTCAAGAGCACAAAGGCCCATGCGTACGGGAAAGGAAAATGGTAAAATTACCCTAGAAAGACAAACTGTAGAAAAGTGTCCATCAATAGTAGGAAGATGTGGCTCTACAGGCAGAGAAGGAGGCACAGCCATCTGAAGGGGTGAAACGAGAGGCCTTAAGCCTCTGCCACGGTCAAGTGCAAAGCAGTGTGCTTAAACTGACATCCTCCCCAGCCCTTCCTCCCTCCCTGGAGAAGTCTGCTGTAGCTCATCCGGACTATCTCCACACCTGCCGTGTTAAGGGTCTGTGTCTATCCATGCACTTATCTGCTGACATTTTCCTTTTATTTTTTTTTTATTTTTTAAAGATTTTATTTATTTATTTTTAGAGAGGGAAGGGAAGGAGAAAGAGAAAGAGAGAGAGAGAGAAACATCAATGTGTGGTTGCTGGGGGCCGTGGCCTGCAACCCAGGCATGTGTTCTGATTGGGAATCAAACCTGTGATGCCTGGTTCGCAGCCTGAGCTCAATCCACTGAGCTACATCAGCCAGGGCTCAATTTTCCTTTTTTTAATAACTGCCTTTCGTATGCAGCATCTGCTCCTTCATGTTCAGAACAGAAGCCTCTTCCAAGTGTGTGTCTGTATTCTGGGGACAGCAGCCTTTTGTTTTCTTAGACATCTTGCCTCCCCAGGTCACCACGCTGCATCGGGTCCCGACAATGGGACAGCAACCTAGAGACCCTGCTGGTTTTCTAAAAGTGTGACGTTTTCCCTCCTGAATGTTCGTTCATTCTGGGTCTTCCCTTCAACTGCACATCTGGGGCCGAAGGATCTCCCTTTGGGTTCTGGACCAACAGCGTACATCACACAGGCTGTTTAACTGCAGCTGTCCTCCACATCTTGCCCTGAGCAGGCGGCACCAGCTCCCGGTCACCCCGCTCCCTCTCCCTGGGGACGGCCCGGCTCACAGATCTGGGCAGGCAGGGAAAGCGGCTGCCCGGAGCCTGGCCGGCTTTGCTGGGTCTCGGTATCCCCAGGTGTCTGAGCATGCCAGCGGGGTACCTGCCCCGCCTTCCCCGGGTGAGAAGCTCTCGAGTCTATACATAAACACCAATACGCAGCCCGAAGAAGGAGGCACTCTGTCCCAGACGGCAGGAAAAAGCTTTCCGGGGGCCTAACTATTCCCTCCAGAGCCAATTCTCTTCTCACCCGGAGAACGTGATGAGCAGAACGTGGTTCAATACTGGCATCCTGTGGCCGGAGAAGTGCACCCGCTCTCTGGCCACCGCACGTCCTCAGGTGCAGAAGGCTCCCTGGCTGTCCTGGGCGGAGTGGACGGTCACCACCCCCTGACAGCTGTTCGGGGGGCCTTGTGTGTTTTATGGACACACCTGCGGGGACGTGTGTTCTGACAAACCATCCTCTCACCCGGCCAATGGGTCCGTGTGCATCAGGGTGAGAATAAAGGCTAATACTCAGGCTAGGAAATGCTACCCAGCAAGACAATTTGCTATTAAATTACTGCATGCACCGCTCCAAGCAGCGGCTCTCTGGCCTCCAAGTTCAGGCAGGGTTTGTCTCCAGCAACAAGGGGGCGTTTGCGGGGAGCGCGGGCTTCCCGGTCAGGACTCTGCAGCTCGGCCGGCCTGTGTGTGAGTGCTTTGTTTTGGCCAAAGGCTAGGAAAACACTTGCTATTGCAGCAATAAATACTATGAAATTTCTTTTGTTTTATTACAAGAATGCTGCCTAAGAGGAAAATCAAACAAAATCGAGGAAGGACTTCCAAGGCAGCTATAAAGACGAAGGGTGACAGTGCGTGCAGATTCGAGGCAGAGCCGCCACGCTCCTCGGTGAGACTCAATGGCATTTCTGAGAACCGAATCACTGCAATGGGACCACTGCACTGCCGCTACTTTCACAAATGGCCGCCACTAAATCTGGCGTCCTTGGAGATGCCCAGAACATCATTAGAGACGGAAACATAACTGGAAACTTTGAAACTACAATAGCGGGGAAACACATCAGAGAGATCAAGCACAGAACATAGCAGCAGGCATGCCCTGACCAAAAGAATGGCACAAAATACATACATGTTAGCAGAAGGAAAGGAGTCTCACAGTGGGCTGACCACAAGCAGGAGGAACAAAATGCCTACTAAGCGGGAGCCGACAAGGAATGGTCTCCAGCTCCAGGGCTGCCGGCCCGTTCGCGTGCTACAGGCGCTCGGTTTCCCATGGTGCTCCGGGGTCTCACCGTCTCCGCCAGGACGTGAGACCCACCCAGGTCGGGCAGAGATGGGCATTAACCAGTCCGGGACACTGGAATAAGGAGAGCCACCCTAATGCTGTTTAACAAGACTTCCTTTTTATTTTCAGAATCAGGTTGCCTACCACCGAGAAAACATAACCAACAATATCCTACAGAAAACTAATGCGATCCAACAGGAAATGGAGATTCAGTACCCTGCTAGGCGGGCCTGTGTTGGCCTTAAAGGACCTAACTTTTACGGGAACGCTTCTTCGGGAAATAGTGTTGCCAGCTAGGAAACAAACTTCAGTATAAACAGGACAAATGAGGTGCAAAGACACCAAATACCAATTAAAAGCTAATAGAGAGGAAGAGTAGCAAAACTCCATTTTCACTCACTGGCTTCTAAGTGAGTTCACGCAGCACACTGGAGGTTCCATAGATACACCAAGTTGGGTTTTTTATTTTATTTTTAGTAACAATTTTACCAGAAATCTCTCTGAACGTTTTGCTGAACTTTTAAAAATTAATTAGGTAAAGCAAGAAATTAAAACACATGAGGACAAAAGTTCTTTTCTAAGCTCATCAAACTCACCAATAAGAACATGTCTGCTTCTCTGGCTGTATTTTTGACTCCTCTCTCTCTTCCCCCAGGCACCCAATCTAGAAAAACCGTGGCGTTCGCAGTCCAGCAGAGGTGGATTCAAATCCTAGCTCCAGGGTTTCAACCCTGCACACTCAAGAATGAAAGCTCCCCTCCGCGAGGCCTGGCTCCCCCCCCCACCCCACCCCCACACCCTGTACGGGCATAACCCCGCCTGCCCCAGGGATCTCGTGGAGGACCAGAAGAGACCATGGCACAAGGAAGAGCCGTCCCTTGGCAGAGTCCAGGACGGAGGGTTGGGCTCCCGGCAGAGGCTGTTCCTAAGCACCTTTCCCACTGCTGACCTACTGGTTCCTCCTCCTCCAGCTCACCTGGTGACCGAGCTCGGAGAGTGCTTCCTCTGGCGTCTCTGCCCCGTGCCCTTGCACGCTGCGGCGGCCTGCGTTCAGACCCTCCCAGCTTTCATCGGGATTGCTGTGGTGACACCTGACAATCTTCTCTGCCTTCACCCTGAGTCCCTCAATCCATCCTCTCTGGCCCCAGATGATTCTTCTAAAACACACACCTGCCCGAGCATGAATTCTAGCTCTTCTACCTAACATCGCATGACTTGCAACAAGTTACGTGAATTCCCCCATGCTATACCTCAAAGCCCATAAAACAGGAGCAATAATTTTCCCACCTCAGAAGGTTTTCAAAGATTAAGGTCATATTTGGGCTAATCCATGGACTCCCACAATACATGAGAGCTGTGATTCTTCTCCCCCTTGTTCTGGCTGGTCTTTGGCCCCGGGGAGCCTTGCCTTGCCTATGAAGTGAGGAGGGGCTATCGCCGGGGGACCGTGGGCTCTGCCTGACTCCCGCCAAATCGGAGAGCTCTCATCGAGGAGCCTGTTGTGTTACAGAATCACTAAGCTGCACTCAACCCAGAATAAAAAGAAGTATCTACTAAAGGACTCGGGAGAGCAATTAGGCCATTTTCAGAACCGCTGGTAAACTTCTACCTAAGAAAGCTGTTCTCCCAAGAAGGGACCAAGCAACCCAACTATAAACACTGTGCTGAAAGGACTCGGCGGCTGCTCCCTAAACGTGCTTCCCGCTTTTCCTTCTCCCAGTCCTGGGCGAAATGCAATAACGTATTCAAACGAGCGGCTGTCCCACTGACGCTTTGCAACTTTAAGATGCGTGGGCATTATGCACGTGCACATAGGTGAGTTTCCTACAACACGGTCTCTGAGAACGTTCCAAAACTGATGGGAAGACTTACCGGACATTCTTCTAAACCACGTGGGCTTCTTGTCCCAGATGATGAAGAGATAGTACGCAGGGACCCCCGTCAGCGTGATGATGAAGCCGATGCCCGTGCTGAACGGGTCGGAGTAGAGGGAAAGGGCGACCATGAAGAAACACGTGAAGGAGAACAGCGCCGGGACGAACAGCGGCACCTGGGGGGCAGCACAGGAGCGAGTCACCCTCCAGCAGATGCAGGAGACCAACGGCGCTTTCTCGAGGAGAAAGTCAGCCGTGGACCTGGGTCCCACGCTGGTCACGTGACCAGCTGGTCACGTGACCAGGTGACAGGCACCATCCTACCTTACCTTAGTACCACCATCACTTTAAAGGGGCACAGAGAACGCATTAAACATACTCCCTTCATTAAAAAAAAAAAAATCTTAGGATACAATAAAATCCAAGGATCAACAAATATGTTTCATTACAGGAGTTCTGTTCAAATTATTTTCCTTGCTAAGGACCACTCTAATCTCTGGTTTTGATATTAAAACATGGGCTCTTTGGCAATTATGATTAGAATCCCCTTTAATGCGGAGCCAAGACCATGGGCCGCTAGTTACACGTTGCATCCTTGCAGGGAACATTGATTTTCCGTTGGAGGGGCACAACAAGAAACAACAGGAACAAAACAGGCCAACTCCTATTCAACCGCTAATGAAGATGTTGCCGGGGTTAGGCAGTGAATATAATTAGCAACAAACTCTAACAACACAACTGACAGCCTTATCTGTTATAAACAGGGAGGACAAATCAATCTATGCAGGGTCAAGGCTGGGGGCGGGGGCGAGTAGCAGGCTCCTCAGCCCTCCCTAGAGGATGCTCAGTGATGGTTAATGTGCTTTCGATTAAGTGGTAGGTTCACACATCTTCCCTTTCCCTTTCTGTTTTACATATCTACTCCTCCTAGAGTGTGTGATGTAGAAAAAGAGCAATGTAAGGAGTCATAACCTTTAAAAATACTTAAAGATCTTATTTTGTAAGGAAGCACCTTTTTCCGAGTGTTAACGAGTGACATGATGCCGTATGTGTCTGCCTGTCTCTCAGTCTGGCTGTCCACAAAGATTCAGCGTAAAGCCAGATCAAAGTTCCCCCGTACTTGGAATTCATCAGGTCATTGGACATATCACGGAAAATCAGCACAACAAACATCTTCTATTCATACCACCTCTTCTCAAAAGTATGACCAAGTTCAGTACATCACATTTAAAAAAAAAAAAGTGATGACCTCTTTGTCCAAGCTGAACTCAATCCACTCTGAGGGCACTGCCTGCCCGAGTCAAACACTTTCCAGGAGAGGAGGGTGCCCCCACCCCAGCGCCCCATCCCCAAGGTTTGGGGAAGGGAGGACTCGGCATCAGGAGAAAGACCCACGTGAGCCCATCGAGGTGGCCGAGCTTACCTTGAAAGGACGGTGCATCTCTGGGCGTTTGTAGCGAAGATAAATCAGCCCGGCCACCGCCAGCCCAATGAAAAGCCACCTGGCAAAACTGAGGAAGTTCAGGAGGCTGTAGAGGTCGGCGGAGAAGAGCATCACCACCGTCAGAGGGTACTGGGGGAGGGGACAGAAACGGAGCTGGGTGAGTCGGAGGGAACACAGGTGAGGCCAGCGGTAACAGGCCTTCCTGCCATCTTTTCCAATGACCGTTTACACTGGCAAACTGCCGTGGCGAGCAGAGGCTGCCCTCCTGCCCGCGGTCTGCCCTGAACTCTCCTTGCACACCAGTAACAGCACGCGAGGGCCATCGCCACGACCCGGTAGTCAGAAGGAATTTCATACGGATGTGTGGTTTTTAGTGGCTTTTCCATCTGACGGGAGAGCCTGAGTTTCCCAACTCATTCTCAGTGGCTCAAATGGGAAGACCCAGAGACCGAGGTGACTGATAAATAACGAATAACAAGAATCGAAAGTGCACGGATGAGGCACAGCCACTGCTAGGGGGCGCTGTCGTGTCTGGAATGCAAAGCAGTGACCTTTCCTTCCTCCCCTCTTCCGCTCCCCTTGGACTTGCCAGGGGTGACCCTCCACACCGCAGGGAAGACCAGCCCAGCCAGCCTCCGCAGCTGCGCATGCCAAGGACGGCCTGACTGATAGCCGATAGCTGCGGCTCAAGACAAAAGCCCTCTTCACAGAACAGTACACTCTGTTCTCAGTGACCATTACCTTCCAGATGCCTCCGGGAGAGCACTCTGTACTTCACAAAGAAGTTTCAAGGAAACGTTTTGAAACAAATTAAATGCATGGAGGTGGGCGGGGAATGCTCAATGCATTCTATGGTGCTCCTGACAGCAGATTCCATTCGAGAGAAATGTTACAAAATGGTAGGTAAAAGTGACTCTCACGTGGCATGTGGGTATTTGAGGACTTTCAACCTTACACAGTCTTCCGTATCCCACGTGTCACAGATACTCTTCTCTGCATAAAGAATTCTGCCGCTCACATTTAAGGGTCGGTCCTTTTAGCTCTCCCCTTGTGGGGCTGCTCTCAAATGTCTCACTTTCAACCGCAGAGTCACTGCACTGTCTAGGATTTCACGTTTTTCCCCCCTACAATTTCGTGTGCATTTCATCATAAGGAGCCCAAGAGGAGGCATCTGCATCATTTTGGACTGTGGTTTTTAGCTCCACTCAGTACTCAGAATTGGGACTTACTACTCTGCACCCTTTTCTGCGAGGTCCTGTATTTAACGACAGGAGCCAAGCTAACCCATTGCCCCCAGACCTCAGAAATTTCTACACATAAAAAAAAAAAAAGGAGGTGATGCGGTTATTGCCGCATAGCATCAAATATGCATCCGAAATACTGAGTCAAGGGAAGCAGTGGAGACACCCTGCCTCCCAGCCCCCTCCCAGATACACACACATAGGGCCAATTTTGCAATGACTGAGAAAGGAAAGCACTCTCTCAAGTCTGGTGTGACAACCTCTTTGCTAACCTGTTATCTCAGGTGCCATCTAGAAATAGTTGTTAATATGCATTACCAAAACAATAACAGCTGGCAGAGGAGTGTGCTTGCGGACATGAATCATGGAGAGGATTTCCGGAAGGTGACCCTCTCGGGACGCAACATAGAATAACCTGATGGGAGAAGAAATGGGGGTGGAGTTGACTGTGTAATTGATCAACGGTTGCAGAGGGAAAAGATCCCAGAAACCTCAGGGACAGTGTGCATCTTTTTTCATACCAAACGGTTTGAACGTTTCTTAGGTGCTTACTTCGGGTTCACTTTCCAGATAAGGTAGAGAACATCATGAGAAACCTGACTTAGAATTGAATAAAAATCTGCCAGCGTACTCAACGTTCTTCTTCGAGGGGAACCAAAGCAGCATCTGACTCGGCATAGCTCTCCCTACATGTAAACAGCTGATGATGAATTTAGTTCTACACTCCCAGTGTCGTAGGTGTGTTGTAGGTGTGCTCTCTATCCGATTCAACCCAACACACGCACACACACACACACACACACGTGCGCGGGAACGTGAATAAAGGGGGCCTCATTTAAAACGGAGGTGGGAAGCCCTGAAAGGAGAACTCAAACAGGAGGATGCTTTTTCCCCACCTCAGCAGGGGAAGAGCCATTCTTCTCCTCGCCCAGCAATGACCCAGCAATAACCCAGCCAGTGGGAAGCCACAACCACCCAGCACTCACGCTCTCTTCCAAAGGCCTTTCAATCAAAACCGCCCCTCCCCGCTCCCTCCTTCCCTCGAGAAAAGCAAAGCCCCTCTCCTTTGTTCTCTGCACTAGCCTACGGTTTTGCTCCAGTTCGCTGTTCGGAACTGCAGCTCCTCCGCTCCTCCCGAAGAAGCTCGTTTCCCTGGTAAACAGCTGGCTGTTGTGTTTCTATGGATGACAACACATCTCGCATTCATATTTATCTGATTGGGTTTTCATCTCACGTTATTAAAACAAAAGGGACTTTTGCATCAAAGAAAGCAATAGGGATACAGACGGGTGGTGATTTCTGGTGACTCTTACTTTACTTTTTCTCTTGTCACCTTTAGAGAAACAACAGATTTTATCACCAGAAATAAAAGAGCTGTTGCTAGACTCTAGACATTCTGCTAAAAAAAATGCCACATGCCCAGCTTCGGGCTGGCCGTGAGTGGAGGAGCAGTGCCCTCTACTGGGCAGAATAAGAAATGGAGTTGGTCCTTGGATGAAGACTTCCATCCGGCATGTCCCTTTAAAAACAACAGATTTGGAGGCTCTGTTTCTTTGTCAAGTTATCCTTATCCTGTCCGACCTCAGAAACAGAAATACATTTCTGGAAATGCTTGAACTCACTCACCTGGAGACAGCAAACACACCACCATTCATGGAGCCAAAGCAGGTGAGGGCGACAAAGATGGGCACTGCTAAGGAGAAATTGCCCAGCAGCCGCTCAGCGAAGGTCTGGTGAAAGACAGACAGAAGGACGCAGATGAGTGCTTTGCCAGAAAGCGGAATAAAAGGAAACAATGTATACCAGACTCGCCCCAGGGCTTTCTCCTAGCCAGGTGATGTGTCTGTGTTTTATAATCCTTCTCTTAGGTTACAGCCAGACTAACTGTGGGGACAAGAATAAAAATCAGGGCAATAATCCCTGGCATTGTGTGTTGCAAATTCGTGGGCAAAGGTCCACACAAGCACCTGTTCTCTACTTTCAAAAAGCAATGATGCATTTACTGAATGAATCTTTAGCAGTTATGGCAAAAATCTTCCATCATTCCGATAAATGGAAAAGGCTCCTTCAGAAATTCTGTTCTTAGAGACAGCAATCCTTTTGCACGGTAGCTTCTCTTGAGCCGAGAAAGCCACATTTTGACAGGAAAGCACCAATGTACACTGAGAAGCATGCCAGAATCTTGTTTCATATATGAACCCCACGGTTTTGACATACAAGGGTGGCAGGAAAAAATTGACAACTTCATCACTTATATCATAGCTATGCAAGGCTCTAAAAATCTTTTGTTCAGGGTAAGCATATCAGCCGAATCTGTTTATCGAACCAGCCCCTCCATCTCAATCATCTGGCAGTTTCTTCCGTGGTTTTCCTATAAAAAGGCTGGAATGCAAGTCCAAGTTCAAGGAAATCAAACCAGAGAAAACACAAGAGATTAAACAAGAAATTTCCTTTTATGCCACGGCATAAAGGGTGTATTTTCCAAAATAAAAATAAAGTGGGATTCTTTACATGTCCCAATGCATCTGGGGCTGTGTCATTAAAGGACCCCATTACGCTCACAGAGCAAGTGGGGCCCTCCGTCTATCGCGGAGGGACGACAGGCCCCACGCCAGGGTGTCTGCTGCAGCGTACAGCAGTGGCCGAGTCTTGCTGTAGACACAGTCGCTCGTACATAGGTTCACATGAAATGAGATCACTGGTTCCCCGTGGAAGCTGCTGATATGAGCTGGCAGGGACTATTTTTAAAGGAATTGACATCTCATAATGGGAAGTTATTTTCCCCCCTTGACTGTTGTGAGGTCATGAGTAAAAGCTCCCTGACTACCTACATCTTTATACAAAATAGAAGTCTGGGTCACAGAATAACAGGCCCGTACCATTTGGGAGCATTGATGGTCTGAACTTGAATAAATTCTGGGAAATGTAAAATTCTGAGGATCTACTCTTGGGGAGTTCAAATGCACATTAGCATCTTTAGTATTCCGAGATGTACTTGGCAATGCTATCTATTTAGCTTTTAATAACTCAGTATTCCCCCAAATTAATAATATCCCATGACTAGCATTCAAAAGGATACACTAGAAGAAACAAACATGTATGGGCAACTAGGACACTCTTAAGGGGTACTTTGGGGAAAATGTTTGAAAAGTGTACCAACAGGAAACAGTACAACAGGCAATGCAATTGCATACTAAAAATGCATTTTTAAAAATTTTTTAATTTTATTTATTTATTTTTAGGAAGGGGGGAGAGAGAGAAACATCAATGTGTGGTTGCTGGAGGTCATGGCCCACAACCCAGGCATGTGCCCTGACTGGGAATCAAACCTGCGATGCTTTGGTTCGCAGCCCGTGCTCAATCCACTGAGCTATGCCAGCCAGGGTAAAAATGCATTTTTTTAAGCAATTCAGGAACTGCCCACCTGTCCTTAAAGATATGTGGGAAGAACAACACCTCTATTTGATGTACATGCGTGGAAATGTGTTTCCACGCATGTACATGCGGAAATATTTTACATGAAATTAGCACCACGGAGAAGCCATATGGGATTTCAGCTGTGTCAGTTCAGAGGCATGTGCTAAGGTGTGTTCTAAAATTTTTAATGCTCATTATCATTCAGGTCAGGAAAAGATTACTGAATTTCAAAACCCTTTTCTGCTGGAAGGAACCGCTATAAAACTGCATCAACTCATGAACCTAAACGCAAGCCGGCACGGCTCCCACGCGGACTCACCACCGCCACGGCGTCAGACTGCAGGAGCTCCTCCGCGCTGATGGTCGTGAAGTAGGCCACGTTTGTCAGCACGTAGCCCACGGTGACGATGGCCATGGATATGCAGATGGCCAGGGGGACGGTTCTGGAACGCACAAAGGAATCACTTATTAGTCATCTTCTGTGAGTCGTTTTCTGAGAAACCAAAGCAGATCACAGGCAAATCCAAACAAAAAAAAATAAACGGCACGTGTGACAATTACAGGCTCCGCTGGGTGTGCATGCATGAGCGTTTCACCACGGTGAACAAAGCACCACACGTCCCTCGGTGATGCGACACAAAGTCCATGGGGGCAGACACTTCAGGGGTCTCGTGCCCTGCTCCCCCCAGAGCAGGTGGGCCTCCGTCCCAGTCTCGTGCTCCATGCAGTTAAAACACTGACTGCTGAGCCATCTCTGAGTGCCCGACTCCGTAGGCTCTGCATCTCTAACTCCTTCCCGGTGATGCTGCCGATGCTGCTGGCCAGGGGACCACACGCAGAGGACCGTGGTCCTCTATGACTCTAACACCAATTCACAGCTTCCACGCCTTTCCGACACTGGTCCCCCACAGGGTCTCTCACCTGCAGGGGATTTGCCCCTCCAGTAGCTCCCCTTACCAGCGAATAATGCTTCCCAAGTACTATTGATACCTTTCTAAATGATGGAGATAATCATTTTGTGTGTAACACATACGCAAAGAAGCGGTCACAATAATGCCCTTGCACTGCCCTGCTGCGCGTTCGAAGGGAGCTCACGACCATGAGCGTCTATTAAAGCAGCAGCACAGAGAATCCCGTGAAAATTAGAGGGGACGTGCCGTGAGGTACCTGTCACCACACAGCGCCGACGCAACGCGGCATCAAGAAACACCCAGCACAGACGCAATGTTATGTCTTCTTTGAATGCACCGGGGACGCCAGGAAGTTACTGAACCCAGTCATTGGATTCCATGTTACCGATACACATTACTTGCTCAACATAATCACCTCTTCAGGCTCTTTCCAGTCCAGGCCACTTAAACCTTCAGCTCCCTGCATGAAGGCTGATGGGGTGGTTGTTGTTTTTTGTTTTGTTTTGTTTTGTTTTCGGTCATGGAGCTTATCAGCCCTCATGGAGCCTTAACCCTGCTGGGGACCACCAACAAAGCCTTCAGTGTAATTGCTTCCAAGAGGAGAAACACAGTTCAGAGCCAGGAAAGGGACACAGCCTGCCTCACTCTCCAGGCTGGGCGTGCTTCTAGCACACGAAGTGCCCGCTCATTATGCGGACTCCTCATTTATGTCAACTCCTGGGTTTCCCGCGTCGCCGCGCAAGAGCAGCTGGGTGAGATGGTGAAAGCTGTTCGGCCTTGCACGCCACAGCAATCTTTGCGAAGGCCTTGGATGCGGAGGGCAGACGGGCAGGCATGGTTAGTAACCCAAGATTGAAGCAAATGGCACCCAATAATGCAAGGAATTACAGGCGCTGCGGGGGCGTGGGTGTTTCCGGCCTCTGTGCGCTAGCTAGCGAGGCAGTCGCTAATTCTAAGCACCACAAAACCAGCATCGTCCGGCAGGAAAAAAAAATGACTCACATCGACACCTGTGAGGTCCACTCCTCAAGAATTTGTGAGTGCTTGTTAGGAGTAACAACACACAAATGCATTGAAAAGAGTCATGCAATCCCTAAGAGCTTTTTGCCATTATATCTAGTCCTTTCAAAGAACAGGCATTAAGTACGGGAGAATCTGATATTTTTAGGTGCAAATGGGTTTCAGTCAAAAGGTGTTAGGTAGTCGTCTTATAGGTTTGTTTTAAATGGGCACCTATAACCAGTTTACGTCAACTGGTATCTATGGATAAAGACTTGTTCCACTTGAACTTGTCACAGGAAGTCTGCAACATCTGCTCAGAAGCACTTCCATTCCGAGGGCCAGACCTCCCCAGGAACCCAAGCGGTCCCCCCAGTGCCGGCTCATAGTTACTTTTGCATAATCTCTGAAGCGCACTAGCAAATGTATTTTCTCTTCAAATACACACAGGTCATTTCAAATCTTGAGTGGAATGAGCTTGAGTATGAATAATTAATCAATAAAATTTACAACAACCCATTGAAATAGGAGGTAATGAGTACCCCTCTCAGTACCCCTTAAACAAGGGATCCCAAGGCTCAGAGGGCTTAAGCTCCATGGTCAAAGTCACAAAAGCTGTCAGTGGAGGGGCTGGAACTTGAACCTAGCTCTTCCAGCTCCGTGCTCCACACCCGTGACATACCCTATCATATCATAGCTTCACTGTGCCTACATGAACTCTGTCCACAAGGTCCCTAAGACACTTACATGCTGATAAACACGTATTACATTTTACATAAGTGGCAAAAAAAAACAGATTGCTACAATCTGACGCATTTTAAGCCACGTATATTTTTCTACATAGCTACCAGTCCTCACAAATACACATGCAGCATGGGCTGCATTTTTTAACAGGCTTCCCAACTGTAACAGAGCATCAGAAATAACCATGGTTTCCAGGGCTCCCCACTGGCTACAAAGACTCTTGCTTTGAAAACGGAATGAGTAAACCTAGCTGGAGTCTCCAGAGACTCAAGCGCACCTGAAGGTGACAGGGGTTTCTGCTATTCAGACCACATGAGTAATTCCGTAATCACTGGAATTTAGGTTATTACTAGAATTGATTTGTAACTTGAACAAAACCCTCGGAGATTTGTGTGAACCAAAATCAGTTCCTCGGGATCCCCTGTGTCAGATATACACACTGGGGACCACAGAACTCGCTGCTCCTAGGGCATCGGTAATTGTCTTTGGGCTGCGGGGCTGGGCAGGGAGACAGGTCTGTTAGAACCTACCCTTGGGTATTCGGGTGTTCTGGGATCTTCTAGGACAAGTGGTTGATGCTTCACATTTTCCATTTAAAAATCATTCATATTTTAACACATGTATTTGGCATTCAGAATAAAGGAAGAAGGAAAGAAAGGAGGAATTCAGAAGGACAAGAATATTGCAAACTTCTCAATATGTGAGCTACAGAAACAAAGGAAAACAGGGTTTTTTGAAAGTATTTTTAATGCTGTTAGTAAACCAGGGATTTTTTGTTCATGTGATTGAAACGTAACTGCAATTCATCCTGACATAAGGTATGTAAAATTTTACCTTCAGGATCTTTTGATTCCGAGTATTCATCTTAGAATCATACTTATTTCACTTTTCCTTTATAATGACCCCAAAGAGACCTTGAAAGCTTTTCTTGAGACCTGACCCAGAAATTACTCAAGCATTTCTCTTTTTGACTTACAAATTATTTCTTTTGCAAAATTACTGTTAATTTTGTTACCACTGCTGTTAGTTTTATCTTACTCCTCAAAGTTCAGTCGTGTGTTACCAACCAAAGGATAGAGTGTGTCTCAAAGAAAATGTATCTGTATTTTTCATTCATATGATTTTTCTTCCGCACATTTTACATGCCTCCCCCGACTCCTGCTCATTCCAAACTCTCCAGAGACCCTTAGACAGAGAGCTCTGCTGTCTGGCTGTGTGGTTTTTTGGTATTTTTAGCAGGGACTGAATTACAAGTAAGTGTTCTTGATAGCTTTCCAGACTTGAATGGGTTAGATTGCAGATGACTGGAATTGCACGAACCCCCGATGTGTCTGCGGTGATTGTGCCGCATTGTCACTTAGCGCCGCCACTGCGTGTGTCGTCGTCACCCACCACGCGTGGGGACTGGGCTGTTAATGACATTTCAGAAGAAATGCACTTGAGGAGACACAGCAAGTTGTTGGGGAGATGGCGTGGGCTGTGCTGAAATAAAAAAATGCAGTGCGAGAGGAAAAATACATTCAATAAAACTATTTGTGAGCATCCTTACAGGTCCGTGGTCCATGTTCTAAGTCCATGACACTTTCCGGGTCAAGGCTGAACACCGTGATGCGGCCAAGAGACTGCGGAGCAAAGGTGTGCAGTGACCCCACTGACTTCAAGCATTGCACGCCTGCCCTCGGCTGCTTACAGCACCGTGGCAAGGCTAGGCTTGTTTCCACTGGGACATTTCACATTGCAGCACCACCGGGGGCTAATCTAAATCTCACCATTCTCCTGTGTCCACAGGTGAAGAACTCCAGAAACAAAAGAGAAGACAGAGAGACCTGGAGGGAGAGGTAAGACATGAACAGACATGGATTAAAAGACTGCGGGGCTGTAGGAGGCTCCTGGAAAAATGCACACAGACACGGGAAGGAGGGAGACTGGTGCAGCAGAACCACAGGGAGAAATGAACTGAAACTTACAATTCAGGTAGAGGGGGGAAGGCAGTCAGGAGGGATAGTAGGAGCACTTTTATTCCTTAAATACTTTCTTTTTTCTCCTGCTATTAGAATACATTCACACCTAACTAAAATTATTCAGCAAGAGGTAGCTTGAGAGTACATTTTTGTTTGCTTGCATTTTGTGCAAGTAAAACATTTGCATTGTCTGCACCTCATTTCTTCTCATAGTCTAAAGATTTAGAGCGTATCTTCCAGGTATATTACAGTCATCAGTATTTATCAGGGGTAAACATAAAGGTATTGTTAGCAGGCAAGTCTGAGTGTACAAAAATAAAATTGGTTTCCAATAAAATGGTAGCAATAAATGAGACAAAATATTTTAATAACACTAATGGCTAATACTTATTTTTGTTATATTGTTTTAAAAATACAGCTTTTACATTTTCATGACTTTCCTCTGGATCTGGTCTAAAGTACAGTAAGGTAATAGAGCATCTCCATGAGCCAACTTTCTCTCCCAGAGTTCCTGAGCTGCAGAGGTGCCGCGAGACCCTTAGTTATCTACCACAAATGTGTTCCTCTTTCCTAAGGAGAAGGCATTCCTGAGGAGCAGCTTAGATAGACCACATTCCCCGAACCCTCTTGTTTCTAGATGGGAATATGCCTCATTCTTCTGTGTCAATTATCGTGGCAATCGAAGGCCAAGGTGTTTGAGACGTGAGTGGTCTTGTCGCCCCGTTCTGCTAACTGACAGTTACAGAGCGGCACAGCCACAGCCGGGAAGGGACCTGGGTCCCAGAGTCAACCTGTGGAGGAAAGCCCACCAGTCAGCCAGGGGTGCCA